TAAATACCCTTGGTTCAATTGAAGAACAAAGAAACTCATCTGTCAATAATTCTGAGTAAGTGTGCTAATTAATCTGTGCTAAGTTATACCATGATTAAACTGGGTGCTATATAATAACTGCTCCTGATATTTCTTCTGCAATTGCGGCAATGCTAATTTAGGTATGTGGAGAATGGCTGCTTGCAAAACATTCAGGTTAAGCCAATAAGAAATTTGGGCCTTTCGGAGTCACTGGTGGCTGTTTACATTGCTCGGTTTCTCAATGTTCTTTGCAGTTGCGTTTTGGGATGACCTTTCCTCTTATGATTATGAATTACTATGGTGAATTCATGATAGGTTTTTGGAAGGCTTTGGTTTAATCTACATGAACAGGTGTCATTCATCGGGATATCAAAGGTGCAAACATATTAAGACCAAGAAGGTAAGCTCTTGGTTTGCTTTTAAGAATCTTTTATTTAGAGATGAGGATTTAGGTAAGAAAACTTCATTTTCCTAGATAATGGAGAAGAAATCTAGGCCAAGCTCCCAGTGCTGGCCCAATGATGTATTTCCCTGGAATATTAAATTTTGATTAGAACTTCCCTTTTATTCCCAATTGGGAAAATGTGATGTAAGAGATCTTCAATTCAACCATTAGATTGATCATACTGAATAAACTCGAATATGACTTGTTCATAAACCATTATTCAATAAAGCCATATAAGTGTTTGTAAGAGATTTTGAATTCAAAATCTCTCCTAATTTTGTTGTAAATCCTGTATGATCTTGGTAGTAATCCAGATTCTTTTCCTCTCAAATTCCCTGTCATGCTTTTCTCCCTTTCACCGTGTGGACAATAATAACTTCAATAATCTATCATTGCTGTTAAACATTTTTTTTCTTATTCATCTTTGAATCTTCGCTGTTTCTTTCTCTCATTTGTGTTGCAGTTTTTTTTGTGGTTGAACATTTATGTATTTTTAGCTTAACTGATGCTAGTGGGTCAGAGAACTCAAGTTTTTAAGTGTAGTATTAGTTCGATATTCTGGAAAAAATTGCTTTGTGAATTTTTATCTGGGGATCCCTCCTGCAGTGTTGCAGTACGCCTGAAGTATATTTGGTGTTATTTTAACGAGAGAAATTAGCTTTGAAGATAGATGGATGAAGAAGAGTAGAACAAATTTTTGAATTGGTTGAGAATTTTGAGCTAATGTCGCGGAGATTTTTTTTTTTTAATCTTCGTTGTGGGAGCTATACAAGGTTTCAATCATCAGCTAGTATGGTCTCATTGAGGAATGAATCACTTCGATATCACAAATTATCTGGAAATGCACGATGAAACAGCAGTTGGGCGTTTATGGCTGCTACAGCTGTTATGGTCCCCAGCCAGGCGGAAGAAATGTAAAGGAGAAGGAGAGAAAGAAGAAGATTGGAGTCCATATGCCCTTGGATTGCGACAGAGGGAGAACAGTGCAATCTGGCTCTAGATGCTTTTTCTTTTTAATCTTAAAATTGGAAAGGAGAAGAATGATAAATATGGCTGTTTTATTTATGTTTCTTTCTATGGTTTTAGTGGTTTTAATATTCTGACAAATTCAACCTATGCTATCTTTTAAGCCCAGGCTGATGGAAGGCTTCTTTTTCTTTAAAAGTTTCTTAATAAACCGTAGTATCTTTTTGTTCTTTAAAGCATTAATTTAATTTAATAAACTTCTACAAGCCCATTATAAAATAACGAAGTTCCTGCTCACAATTGTTTAGGAAACCATTTGTTTTATTCAAATACAACATTCTTTGATGTTTGTTTGATATTAATATGCACATTAATTTTAGTTTTTGGTTTCAGTTATTTGAAGTCCAATTTCAATGGCAGTCAATCGGACTGTGTTCAATCTGTGGTTCAATTCTGTGAACACTGTTTTGGTTTTGATTCCATTATTTTTAACCTTGGACTACAGTCTTCTTCAGAGTCCGGCTGCCATGCACTTCTCAAGCTATTCCCCTATACGTGAAATTCAAATTATTTTACCACTAGTGTTTATAAATACAAACTCGCTTAGGCTCTTTGAATGCATCATGAGAGCCTGTTTAGGCATTGAGTCCGGAATTATTTTTCTGAAAAAGCACCATTTTGATGTTGTTTGGAGAAAGTAAGCTTGAGGGCCTTGTTTAATTTATTTGAAGGCTTTTATAACTAGATCATGTGAAATTTACCTTAAAAACCAAATTTCAATTTGATCCTCCTAAACTGGCATTTGAACCAAGTGTTTTTTTCTCGACAGCAGCTTAAAAACATATGCAAATGTACTCCTAGTTGGTCCTCATTAGAATGCAAATAGTGAAAAGGTTGTAAAGGGAGAATGAAATGTGAGAGTCTATGGCCCAAAGTAAAGAAGTTGAAGGATTTAGGAATAAAACAATCAATGTTGTCCGGTGTTGAAAAGAAAAAATTTGGAACATTTCAGTGAGACATGCATAATTTTTATTTGCTTCTTGAGAGGTTCTGCTAACTTAAATCTTGAGCGTGTGACATATGTTTGAGATGGAGCTTAATTGGACGTGCTTACTGTGACTCGGTCAGTATTAGTTACTTAATTTTTGATATACTCTTTCAATTCTTGCATTTCATGACGCATATGTTGTTGGTTCATATTTTGAAGACATTTGAAATTATTATTTAACACATACAAACAACAAAATTTTTTTTTGAAATCCAATTTTTTGCTGGAAAGACAGTTCAGAATGTTAATATGATATGTCTGAATTCTCGTTCAATATTTGATGATCAATGTTGAAATTATTTTGTTTTCACATACAAACAACAAATTTTTTGAAATTCATTTTTTGCTGAAGACAGTTTTCAGATGATACTGCGATATATAAAAGTTGGAGATATGCCTTGTTGGTCCCTAAATAGCAGTAAGGGAAAGGCTTATGAGATTGCAAAATTCTGGTTTGGAAGAATGCTTGTTGAGATTTTTGTCCCATATGGAATTCTCTTATTGGAAATTTAATTAATTCGAATAGGAATTAACAAAGATGAACTTATGCTTAAATCTGGTGGGTGGACCAGAAGGTTGTCATCATACGCATCTTTTTCATCTTTTTTTTGTTGCTTGAAAAATCTGCTATTTTTCTCGTTTTGTATTCTTGTCTGTAAATAGTCACTAGATAAATTTGTTTGAACTTGTCATTTTTTCTTCCAGGGCTTGTGAAACTTGCTGGATTTGGTGTTGCAACAAAAATTAACTGAGGCTGATGTCAATACCCATTCAGTTTGTGACACGCATATTGGATGGCCCCTGATGTACGCGATTTATTTTTATTTTATGATTTTAACATCAATACACTGTAAGTTTGATAATTAGGTTCAGTCCCTCAGAGTTAATGTTTGCTTTTAATCTTTTGGTATTTATGTTTGATAGTGAAGGTGTAGCTCCCGAGAGATACCATGTGTATACTTGGGTGCACTCTAATAAGGCATTCCTAGCCCTTCCTTTTAGAAATGAAAAAGCCAATATGGCTGGAATTGATTACTGCTTTTGTCAATTTCAAATATGCCGCTTTCAGGCCTGGCATTTGGTTGTGGGGTTTGAACACTTCATGAGAGGAAAGACAAATCTGTCAATATCTGTGCTTGATGCTTGTGAAGAGAAAGACCAAAGTTTATTCTTGCTTTATATAAGGTAATCATTTGCAAGGTTAGAATGTGAAAAGTTAAAAATGCTGTAGCCCATGGTCAATTGGTGGGGAGTGTGACCAGAGGTTTGAAGAATGGGACTGAAACATAAAGGAAAGTAAATGTTGTTTTGCCAAATTGTCTGAAACTACTGCTTTGCTGTGAACAACAGCAAGAATAATTAAGTGAAATAAATGCCGAAAGGAATGCAATAATATAACTAGTACTTTCATAAAAGAGCTACTAATCACTTATTGTCTTGTAACTGACGAGTTTGACAATCAAAATCAGTAATATACTACAGAATAAATTCCTTTCTAAAGTGTGACAGTCAGATTTCCGGTTTGGTTTGCATTGAGCTAATAATAATGGGACCATTTGGAGTTGCTGACTAGATGTTAATGACAAAAAAAAAAAAAAAAGCTTTTTTAAGGAGTTTCCATCAATCAATCTTCAGCATTTAAAACTGAAAGCATGGGCCATTTTCCATATGTATCGTGTATTGTTTTCAAAGTGATTGATAAATCAACCCGGAGAAATAGAAAATAAAGTAATGATAGGTTGAAATCCCAAATCATGAAATGAATAATACTTTATGAAAATGATGTTACTTAAAAAGCTGAATTACTTCTATAATTCATGGCAAACATTGGATAATAAGAAAAATGCCTCGAAATTTTGTAGAAAATTTATTTTTAAGATGTCAATATTTGTAAATTTTGAGTCAAATTCAAAGGAGAAGATAATGAGAAAATAATTGAAGCCTTCACTAGGATTATATATAATCCCATTTAATGTAGTTTTCTGAAAGCCCAGTGAAAACTCAACTCAATATAAGGTGAGAAAAAAGGAGATTTTACAAATGGTGAGAGGTGGAGTAATAAAATAAAAAATATAATATGCTATTGTATCTAATAACCTGAATGAGTAGGATGAAGAATAACTAAGTAAATACTCCTTACTGAAGTGACCTTAGATATTAATGAAAATTAAGTTTGGAGTAACACTTTTGTTGCCTTTTTTTTTTCCTGGATCTTGAAAAACATTTTAGCATTTCCTAAATGTTTTATTGCATAATTAAATTATCGATGGGAAACTTTTCTGAGTTAGAGAAAAGTAAACCATTATCAACGAAATGACATCTATGATGGGCTCGACTCAATGATGTGTAAGGAAATGGAAGGAAAAGTGGTTTAGTGCTCATTGAAATACCTATCCCACCCACATTAAAGGTCAAGGCTATGGCCGGTATGGAGAGGATACACAAACTTTACTGAATACTTATCATCATATTGGGGAGAGTGGTGTGGTGGGAGGTAACTCATGATGGCATGGTAGAGAGATGGGAATGGATGAAGGTGACAGAGATGGAGGTAAGTGGATGCTGCTGGCGATATTTGAATCGATGTATAACGAAAGGAGAAATTTGGTAATAAATCAGTGAAATACAAAAGTTGGAGTGGACAAGAGAGGGAGAGAAGTGGTGATGGGCATTTCAATGATGATTCTCCCTTAAAAGGGAAATGATTGGTGTACTTCTTTAAATCAGGTGGTTCTCAAGGATTGTTGTGGTCTCGTGCTAATCACTTGGTGCAATCTGTGGTTTTGGGGAGTTTGTCTGTTTATGCTTAGGTTCTCAAATTGCGTCCATTAATGAAGATTCAAATTCTTGTACTTCACAACAATGCTCATGGTCCATATTCTTTGAGGAAGTTGTTTGTCCAAATGTGTTCTTGAACTTGGAAGGAAGGTTATTAATGTAACCATGTTTAGATATGCTAATTCTTTCCCATAACATAGCCTGCTATTCTTGAGTCCCTATGTGCAAGTGGACGTCTTTAAGTGTTTTATATGCCTGTAAGTAAGAACGGAAAATAACTAATACTTTGACCACTGGCACATGGGTTCGAAAGTATGATAGTTGGTATTGTGAGTGTATCAGGTTAATTGAAATGTCAGGTGTTTGTGCTGCTCTGACATGGTGTTGGCTGCACTGTGATGCGAACTTCTTACGTGTGTGCCCTCCGTATTAGATTTGCAGCCGATGCCCCCTATTTCGTATTGTCAGGTTGTTTTGTTTTAGTTTTGCCTGGTAAAAATAAATATGTGTATGTTAAATTGACTTACTGTTAGATCCCTTTCCCTCCTTTAATTTGTAATTTTTGGCCATAATAGTTTATGTTTCAGGATGATCATCGCTCCAAACCGAAACAGTCCTATCTCCTGAAAATTACTGTTTCCCTCACCAGTGCTCAAGAAGGTAAGCATACTCTGCTCATGTTTTGTAGTTTTCAGGTAAAAGTTTAAGGCTTTCTTCTGTTATGAAAAATTACAACATGAAGGCCAAACAGAATTGCTTGGCTGTGGTGCAATTATCCTGCTTGTTTAAGATTATACTTGTCAACACTTCTCTATAATAATACATAATATAATAAATTTTCTGTCTGGATCTTCAATTTTTCTTAACCTTGATACTTCCTTTCCCATATTTGTTTAGGTTAATTATTAACTATCGAGTAATGTATATATGTGTTGTGTGTATGTGTGTGTGTGTTATAAAATAATTTGAAGTTTTGTTATGGCAAAGCTGATGATAATATTTGAATACCACAACCAATCCATAACTAATTTATTCGAACTGTGGAGTCAGAGTTGGTATCCAGGGATTTCCAATTACCAAAGAAACTTGAAACATTTGGTAAGACTTTCTCCCTCAACATAGGGAGAAAATGAATATTCAAGGGCCCCTATCACACGCGCGCGCGTGCCAATAACAACAACAAAAGAAAAGGGATATCAATTCAACGATTGTAATTAAATCTGAAGTTTTAGAAACTATCGTGAATTATGGGAAGGAAATGACTGAATTCAGTTCTTCCTTTGCAAGGGACAAAATAGATTCGGTTGCATCAAATTTCAAGGTGCTGTGCATATTGAAACCGTACAGGTTATAAATGTTCTTTCCATATTCAGTGGGCCTTGTTTGCAATATTAGTGAAGAATTGAAATTTGATCCATCATATCAAATTCCCTAAAAGCAATTACTGTGTATAGAGTGGAAATTTAAACTCATGAATAGGTCTTTGTGAAATGCTGGGTGATTTTCTAGAATAACTTATAAACAAAGGTCCAAAGTCCTTGGAAATGAGAATCGAAATTCATGAAATGAAATATTATAGTACCAGAGCGCCCAAAATTGAAGTTGAGCATGGGTCCCATGTTTCGCCCATATCTTCCTTTTTCAAAGTGGATGCTTAAGCAAGGTTCTTGTTTTGTTAATTATCAATATTAACTTCACAAACATGCGAAAAGGAAAAGGAAAAGTAGAGATAAAGCCATTGTTTTATTACACAATTTTTGGACTTCAAATTAAATTTTCCAATACTTATTAGTTTTAAAGTTACTTGATAATGCTTTTTACATTTAACTAAAAGTTCCAATTAAGCTAAAATTCAATTAAAACGATAAGTTAAAATTTTAACATAAAATTTTGCATTAAGATCAATAAAGTCTTTGATTTCTAAACAAGTTTTAGCAAATTAAGATATTTGAGCACTTAATATTATTCAACATCTTAAAACTAAGCTCTTATAATTTTCAGCGCTTAACTTCCAAATACCACATAATGTGATTCAGAACTTTAAAATGCATAAAACTTTCAGTAGGATATGGTCATGAAGGGTTCTGAAATTCTAAATTAATTGAATTTAAACAAAACAGAAACTATATACAGATTTGTGTGTGTGTGTTTTTTTCTTTTATTTAATTCATTGAATTTAATTTGTAATCTTTCCACCATATCGATATTGCATAACTTTCTGCCTCCTACAAGGCTTCACTCCCTTTTAGCTTTGCTAAAATAGTCTTTATGTGCTTCAGCTTTACACATGCAACAGCTAAAATTATAATTGATTGATGGACCTGGATAATAAGCATGATTTTTCTGGTGATGCATAAGTTGGTAAAATTATGCTTTTGGGAAGTAGCTGTCAAACAAAATCCTTAACTGAAAAAGGCATTAAATCTGAGTTATTGGAAAACACTAAAGAGGAGGAGGAACTTGAGAGAATGGATGAATGGGAAATTGCTGTAGGCCTTGCTGCAATTTTGTTTGTAATGCAGTGGGAGATAGACTGTTTTTAGTGTGTACAGTTGAAGGGGACTGAGAAATTGCATGCCGCACTTTCATGTGAGGAAAGAAATTAGCACAAGTTTAGAGATAGAAAAAAAAAACAATTTTTGATGGATGCTCTAGGGCGTCCTTGTATACTTTCAACAACATAAGGCCTAGTTACCAGTCTTCTTTCCCTTCTTCAAGGTTGCTCAAGTTGCCATATACTGCAGTTTCCAACAGCCTTAAGATTCTTAGATTTTCACTCACTCTCTCTCTCCTCTCTACTCCTTCAAGAAGGCCAACTAGAGTTGTCATGTATGTTAATCTGGTAAAGAAGTTCACTGAGTGTGGAAGTTTAGGCTTATTTTCATGATTTATGGATGTGCCCAAACAACATAGTAGAAATGGGAGAAATTAAGTCTTCCTTGATCAAGATTTCCTTATGTCCTCTGAGTGATGGATAGATATTGTCCGTCTTATCAATGGAATTAAACCTGGAAGATATGAATGGCTCGCTAGGATATATGCTTGCCATATTTGGGGTTCTACGACTTGACAATTGCAATAGCTCCTATCAACTCTGGCTTACCTAATATTTTTTTCACATCTCATTCACTAGAACCTTGCAATGGTATCTTGTTAATTTGACTCGTGCCTAAGTAATGTGCCTCTATGTGAGGATATATTTTTTTGACTTTTTAAAAGCGTGTGAGATGTGTGGGAATCGGACATTTGCTTAATATAAATAAAAGTGTTTGGCATATAAATCGAGTGAGTGAACTACCAAAGTGAAACTTGGGATATTATGTATAAAGGTAAGTCGAACTCATAAAATCCAATCGTTAATGAATAATTTATTTGCTTTGATTCTGGCCTAGGCCCCAGATTTGAACGTGTGAGTAGCGTTGGGTCCAACCATGTTGCATGAGGGAATTCCCAAGTGGATTGTCTTGATGGACTTGTACTGCCAATCGTATACTGGGAGTGGCCCAGTTGCCACTTTTAGAGGTTTTTTTTTTTTTTTTTTTTGGGGGGGGGGGGGGTGGGTGGGGGGTTGTTGCGCTGGGTGGGTGTGAGAATGTGTGGGAATCCCACATTGCATTAATACAATGAAAGTGCATGACATATAATGAAAAAGGTGAACTAACCAAAATGGCTTAGGCCATTTTGTGTTAAAGAAAAGTCTTAACTCATTGTAAGCGCAATTATTAAGTGAATTGTTAATTTGATTTGATTAATTGCTCCTGGAGCCCAGATTTAATAGAGTGAATTTAATAGTTTTAAATGCCATATTTATTTGCATATTTCAGGATGCTAGGCATAGGCCTGATGCCAAAACACTGTTGTCTCACCCTTGGATACAAAATTCTAGGCGTGCTTTGAACTCTTTCCGCCACAATGGATCAATAAGGTAGAGATTTGTTTATTTATTGAATTTGGTCATCCTTTATAAAATTTTCTAACCAGTCTTGAATTTTACCACCTTTTCTGTACAACTGTTTGAGTTGTATGAATTACCCTGAACTGTGGAGTTCTGATTGTTTTATGCCCCTCGATTTCTATAATAACCGATGTATTTGAATGACTTTTAGCTGCTAATTTAGTTTAAGTGTAATCTCAGTGCTTTTCTTAAGAATTCATTTCAATGGATCTATGTGTAATGCATCATTTGGAGCCTTAGCTTGCATTGGCAATGGAGATTACATGATACTGCAGTTTTGTGTTGTGCATCTTTCTGTATTATTTCATACCCCTTTATATCTTTCCTTTAATATAATGTGCCATTCTAGCAGTAATTTCATATGCTAGTTTTGTTTTGGTGCCCGTGAAATAATATGTGCAATCACAAACTTGAAATCTGATGCCTGTCATTATTTTTTTTGTCCCCAAGGTTTGTAAAATATATATCTTTTTTTCTCTTTTAATGTTTACTTGGTCTTCTTAGATATGAAAATTTACTTGACCGCCTTAAGTGTTTACGTCTTTGTTGCTCCTTGAGCCTAGCCTAAAAGGTGCTCACCTCATTTAAGTCGCCTGCCTAACTACAGTAGAGCAGCTAGACCTAATGCCTATTGAGCCTTGAGCTTGAGGAGTGCCTTTAACAACTGTGCTCATCCTTATCCTGAAACTTGTTCTCTTAAATGCTAGCTTCTAATTGCTTCGCCATGTTTTCTATCAACTCCTGTATGAATGTCTGTTTATATTTCCCTAAGCATAAATTCTTTTGACTGGTGGCTTATAGAATCACATGTTCCATGTAAAAGAAGATGAATCAATTTAAGAACAATGATTTTACATCATGTCATTGTTGCTATGAAATATATTTAGCTGCCATCAATATTTGTTCGTGTTACATATTCTATTTCTAAATGGGCTTCTATTTTATACCTCCTGAATACTTGCATTTTCCTTTTGTTTTCCTTCTTCTGATGGCATTGAAAGAAACAAGAATCTGTTTTAGCTCTAGACGAGAAGGGTTGATATGGAACCCCAAGATCAACGCGGAACTTAGAACTCTCCACCAATTTGAACCAGCAGAATTAACCCCCAAGCAATCGTGATTTTGATTTGTTCTTATACCTAAGAACTCAACTCAAAAGAACTTAAAGAGAAAATCCCATAATATCTCTTTTAAACCCAATTTGAATTAGATGTTAAAAAACATAAGAAATGGAAATTGAATCTGAATAGCAATTGAACAAATCAATTACAATCCAAACAACACCTTATGCATAAAGATAAAAGAAGGCATAAACCTCACTTTCATTAATCTAAAATTATCCAAAATTCCTTTCCATTAATCTAAAAATTTAATCCAAATTCAATCTCTCAAAAACAAAGAAAGTTAATTCCTTTATATAGAGTAAGGGTGTAACAAAGTAAGTAAAATACAAATTTAAAACAATAATTAAAGCCACACAATTGAACAAATCAATTACAATCCAAACAACACCTTATGCATAAAGATAAAAGAAGGCATAAACCTCACTTTCATTAATCTAAAATTATCCAAAATTCAATCTCTCAAAACAAAGAAAGTTAATTCCTTTATATAGAGTAGGGTGTACAAAGTAAGTAAATACAAATTAAAACAATAATTAAAGCCACAAAGTGGATAGCTCTTCAACTTCCATAACTCCCTTGACTCTTCATCTTCTACCTTCTTGTCTCTTCAAGTTCTAATGATCCAAGATAAGCCCAAATGGGCCATCCAACCTAAATATATGAACCTCAAAATGAGTTTTGAGCTAAAAGCCCAAAAACTTCAAAATTGCCAAAACAGGCCAAACGATGTCATTACTCCATAAAATTTCCCATGTATATATTTAGGCCCAAAATGAACTCTAAACCAGCTCAAATGTATTTTAATTAATTTAGCAAGTATTTCAGCCCATATTTTAATTAAAAGCCCAAATAGTCGATAAATTTCTATAACCGGACATTTTCTCATTTTCACTTGTTTTGCCTCCATAACCTGTATTGTATCAAGGATCAAACTATAACCTGTTAATTTTGCTTATGGTCCAAATACAGCAGTGTGTATATCAGATATACAATATAGATATTGTAATAATTCTACGAGAACCTTTGGGGAATATGATATGTTACTTTGCATCATGGTTTTGGATGGTGACTGCTACATAATATAATGAACTCCTGTTATTTTTGGATTTTTTCGGAATAGTAATTAGGAATGACTGGTGAAATGCTCTTTTCAGCCATTTTACCCCTCCAATGGCAATTACTCTTTCCTGTTACAGAATCTCAGATGTCACTCCACATATTCCCCCTTTATTTGCAACTGAATTTTCTTTCAAATAAATTCAAGGTGGTGCTGGCTCTACCATGGGGTGACAATACAATACTACACTAGAGCTATGGCTAATTTAAAACTCTGTTGTGTAAGAGTATCTTCACTTTATGTGGCATGCATTATTTGGATCCTCTCATGTTTATGCAAACACGTCCCGTCAATGTCCATCCTTGAATTAATAAGAACAGTTCAGATCTTGTAAGAAATTAATTTTCACTTTTCATGAAGTGGGGTGGTTATTTAGAAGATAATGAAATCTCATCTGTGCATTTTCAATTCAGGGGTTTGTACATGCATGTTATGTCATTTGCATAAAACATGAGAGGATTTTTATCCTTAACATAAATGGTCATTTCTTTGTTCATGAATTTGGAATAAGCTTGTGTTAATGTGGTAGTTTATTTGGAATTCTCTCTCCAGTCTTTCTCCCCTCTCTTTAATTTGCATCCAATGTCTAATGTTTTCTTTTCAAGTGTTAGTATGGTACTTCATCACAAAATTGTTTCACTTTGGTAGAAGCATACAAGAAGAAGATCCAGCAGATGCAGACAATTTAAATGAAGATAATCAGAGCCCTGGTAAAAGCCATTCTTCAGGGAAAGCTGAAAAGGCTTCTGTTGACTTCGAAATCGTAAGACCTCTTAGCTCAGGCCTTTTCATGAAGCAACGTTATGTAATTAGTTAATATTTTACACATATTATTAACACTAGCCAAGAAATGTACTTTGGTTGCTTGCATGGCAATTCTTAACCTGGTATTGATTAATGAGAAATTAAACTATTTCTGCCACATTCTTGATCTATGTTCTCTTCCTTTCAGGATTCCCGGAAAGAACTAGTAACTGATGCTGCTGGTGTTAGTAATTCTGATAAAGATTATCCTTCAAATTATGATATTATTGAGGAAAGAACTGATAAATTAGAAGATGATCTTCAGTCAGATCAAGTTCCCACATTAGCTATCCATGAAACATCATCTCTGCAAACTGGTTCTCATAGACTATCTGCCAATAAAGTTGCAGCTGTCTGTGCTTCACTTCATGGCTCAACACATTTGCATGACCAGGATGCGAGTCCCATTAATGGTGAGATCAAGTCTCTTGAAGCAACAGCGAAAGATGCAGATAAAAAGCATGGAGAAAAAGGAAGTTCCAGTCGTGTTGAGAGTAAATCATTTGGTTTTGCACCAAGTCGTCAAGATAATGGTCTTCAAAAGGTGAAATACTGTTGATTGCTATTGGTTTGTCTGAATTAGGTGTTGGTCAATTGCTATAACTGTTTATATATTTTCCCTCCCTATGCTATTCAATGGTTGTGTGTGCATATTACCAACAAAGGCTAGCATAATTTTCAGTCACCTGTTTCCTGTGTCTACTTGTTTTTGATGCATAAATACTCAGAGTTGCATGCACATATTTCGGTGGTTAAAATTGTTCGCTTAGAATTCATCTGCCAATCTGATCAAAGAATAAGATCAGGTTGCCTTTTGACAAGTATCAAATAACAGAACACAAATAGCAAAGAGTTGAAGTCCTTCATCCATCCATTTGTCAGTTTACTTGTTTGTGTGGATAACATGGCATCATAGTAATGATTATTTGGCCTGCAATACTCTTAAAATGACTGAACCAATTGAGGAAAAATAGCAGCACTCTATGTTGGTTTTAATCAAAACAAGGGTGTGGAAGGATTATCTATATATTCAAACTTGGTTTTTCAGTCTGCTTTAGTTTTTTTAAAGTAAACATAGGTATGGTTCATTCGCAGAGCAATTCCTTTGCTTCTGCAACAATGAACTGAAAAAACATCAAAGCTGATTTTAATTCATTGACACTGGCATTGCCACAAAAATTTCTTGGTTTCCTTTTCCTAAAATCTTCATTTAATCCAAAAATGTAGTTGGTTAGAATAAACCTTTAGCTTTTAACTAACTGGTAATGTTATGGATAAGAAAGTCATGAAAATTGTACGCTGATACTAGAGATTTTTTATTTTTTTATTTGCTCATCATCCTTAGTTGTTGCTAGAATGAATTATCTTGTTTAGATTATGGTGCTGTGCTACTGTTTTTTTGTTTTCATAGTTCTTACTTCTTACTGATCTTGCATATTTTAAATTCCTTCATTACCAAAAGTTGACAATTTCATAGTAATGCCTGTTCTGTATGACTTATATTATGTACTTTATGTGCATATGTTCTTGTTCTTTGTCTAGAATGCATTAATTTTTTTGTTTGAAATTGTGGTGCTCTTTTGTTTTTTGTTTTGTTTTGTTATATTTATATTTATATAGTGGCTTGGCCTAGGCTTGAAAGGTCTCCAGTGGGAGCTTGAAAATTACCCTCAGTGACCCCTATTCTTATCCCTGCTTTACTCCTCTCCCTTTCTCCATTCCCTCTTTAACTACAGAAGTAAAAACTTATGGATCTGTATAAATGGCACTTTGAAGGCTGTGAAGGCTTCACTGGCATTGGGAGGGAATGAGCTTAGTAGGTTCAGTGACACTCCAGGAGATGCTTCACTTGATGATTTATTTCATCCCCTGGATAAAAACCTGGATGATCGGGCAGCTGAAACTTCAACTTCTGCATCAACATCACATTTAAACCAAGGCAATGCGTCTGTAACTGAGGCAGGGAAAAATGACCTGGCTACAAAGTTGAGGGCTACCATAGCCCAAAAGCAGATGGAGGGTGAAACAGGGCAGACAAATGGTGGTGGTGACCTCTTTCGCCTAATGATGGGTGTTTTAAAGGATGACGTGATTGATATTGATGGTTTGGTATGTTCACGTACTTAGTTTAACTGTTCTATATAAAGATTTCCTTTTTCTCCTCTTTTATAATTTTAAATCCCTGACAGTTTTTCGTTTCGTATGGTTTCTTTGTCAGGTTTTTGATGACAAATTGCCAGCAGAAAATCTGTTCCCCCTACAGGTATGTACATAATCTTGCATTAAGAGCCGTTAATAATTTCCTTATTTGGAGGATGGTAGCATCACATTATGAACTGTTTAGTATGAAACTTTAATGAGTTTCTTCTTGATGTGAAATGCAATATGCTTACTGTAAGCTTCTTTTGATGTTTTGAAGAGTTTATTTTCCCTACAAGGTATATTCATTGGAAATCATACACATCAACACTAATCTATTGTAACTTGACATGCATGTAGTGTATTGCTCCTCTATTTCCTGCTATCGGAAAATTATAAAATATTAAGGCTCCGTTTGTTTCTGTAAAATAACTTACAGGAAAATATTTTCCACAATTATCCGTTGTTTGGGTTGTTCAGGAAAGTAAGTCAATTGAAAATATTTTCCTGGTTAAAGGAATACTAAGTCATCTTTAAGGAAAATAACTTCATATTTTCAAAAGAGGAAAACATTTTCCGGACATTGACAAACTTATTATAACCTTATAAATACATATCTTTTAATTTATTAATCATCAATAGCCACTATCACCAGCCACCGTTCACCACCAGCCATAGCCACCGGTCACTGGCAATTGTCGGCCACTACCACCGGCCCCTTTTAGAATGCCTTATCTATAAAGATATTAAGTTTATCTTCAAGCTATTTTGGGCATACATCTTTTTGTAATCTATTCCCCTCGCTAGCTAGGTCTCATTGCTTCTTACACTTAAAATAGTTGATAAAGCACAATTTGCTGTGGTGGTTTGACCAATTGGCATGGACCACAGGACTAATCAACAATTTGATTTTTTTTTTTTTTTTTTTTTTTTTTTTTTTTTTTTTTTCCCTCAAGCTAGCTAGGTCTCATGCTTCTTACACCTTAAAATAGTTGATAAAGTCATCGAATTTTGCCTGTGGTGGTTTGACCAAATGGCATGGACCACAGACTAAATCAACCAATATTGAATTTTTTTTTTTTTTTTTTTTTTTTTTTTTTTTTTTTTTCTGTTTTTTTTTTTTTTTTTTTTTTTTTTTTTTTTTTTTTTTCTGTTTCTAAGCATTTTTGTTCTAGCATTTCTTACAGTTGCTTCTCTTCATTGTTGTCCTGCTATGTAACTGCTATATTTTCTGTTTCTGTGCTATGTATTTCTTTAATGATTTACAACAAACATTACTTGCATTGCATGCCTAATCTAACTCCAATAGAGAAAGCAGAGTTTGCCCTTGAGTTTAATTTATTAAACATTGAAAATTGTGAAAGATAAATATTCACACTTCGGTTTCCTGGTCTATATTGTGATTGAATCGTTAATAAACAAGGCTCCGCTCAAAGCATCCTCTTTGCTGCTGACATTTTGAAAGTTTCTGGTGTTAATGTTATGATGATGTTTTAGAGGCATGGATTTATCAAGGTCTAGTAGCTTTGAAATTATAGCATCTGATGCTGTTGTCGATGTTTTCACTCTGCCAAGTAGATTTAGCCCTCCCCTTTTCCCATATGGTTAGGTTTGCTAGTTCTGTTTTGTTGGCGTTTCTCACATCAATGTCATTGCTGGCATTGCCTTAATTCTCATTGCTGTATCCTTTTTGTTTTTCATTTTCTGTTTCCATCTTAGGTTGAAAGATGTCTTACATTTTAACTGGAGTTATATTCTCTTCATGATAAATGTTCAAAATCTTGAATTTTCTTGAACCTCCATTGATACAATCCTTAAATAAATATGGACAAATTTAAATGGTTGTGTATTCAAACCTTTGTCATCTTCCTTTTTTATTCTTTTGTTTTTTTTTCAATTTTGAAAACAAATAGTTTGTGATTTTATTGCTTTTGCTTAGCAGGCTGTTGAGTTTGGAAGATTAGTTGGATCATTAAGACCTGAGGAATCAGAAGATGTGATTGCATCGGCGTGTCAGAGACTTATTGCTATATTTCATCAGCGCCCTGAGCAGAAAATTGTTTTTATTACCCAACATGGGTTGCTTCCAATGATGGAATTACTTGAAGTTCCAAAAACTCGCGTATGGCAACTAGGATAAGTGTTTGCATATCTTATGTATTCTTTTATTTTATTTTATTTTATTTTTTTTTTTTTTTGTATCATTAATTTTGTTTCCAGTAACAATGATTTTAATTGTGTAAATTTTCCTTGTATTTCAGGTTATTTGCTCTGTCCTTCAACTCATAAATCAGATTGTGAAGGATAATACTGATTTCCTGGAAAATGCATGTCTTGTTGGCCTGGTAAGTAATATGTACCTTCAGGATTCTCTTGTTGGAAATATTGCTTTGTCTGGCAAGTGAAAGAGCTTATTTTTGGAAGTCATAGCAGTTGAAAATTTCAATTTTCTTTCTTGGTCTTGCGTGATTATTTTTCGGAATAATATTCCAGAATGGTTTGAGCTAGATTCAACTAGTTCTCTATTATTTATCTGATAAATATGTGAACAATTGATAATGATGAATATGAAGTTCTCTTCCTCTGCCTTTTTGTGTGGAGTTTCTGATTTTTGGTCATTAGGTCTAAATCTAAGAACTGTTCAAGCTTGGCTTAGTTTTCTTATGCTTTCACTTCATAATATTTTTTCAGTTGGAGCTTGAACTTGAAGCAAGTTCATGTGGTCTTGATAACTGGTCTTAATTCAGTCCAACATGAATTTGTGACCTAGCAAGCTATGGTTAAGCATGTTAATGAGCTTATCAATTCAGGAAAAGAACTAAATTGTAGTTTGCAGATCATAACTTAAAATGTACAAAATTAAACTAGTATAAATTTGCTATCTAATTTTCTCGGGATTAGAGAAAAAAACCCCTTTATTAAAGCAAATATCCTCCTGATTTCACACTTTAAATGTGGGATAATGAATATAAAATTTGAAACCATGCTTCTGTCAGCAATAAACTTTGATAACATCGTCATCCAGCATATCTGTGAGACTTGAATGAATTGAGCTTTAGCTTGTTCTAACTTTGTTAATGTATGTTTGTAACAAGATTGTTGAGTTTTTCTTTTTCCTTTTTTTTTTTAAAAAAAAAAAAAAAAAAAAAAAAAAAATCTAATTGTTTAATCGTATTGTAACAAAAGATTGGTTAGAGTTTTTCTTTTTCCTTTTTTTTTTTTAAAATAAAAAAAAAAAAAAAAAAAAAAAAAAAAAAACTTTAACTGAAGCATGATCGCTTCAAATTGAGTTTGTCTTTACATTTACATGCAAAAACCAAACTTGTACATTATTACCTGAGCTGAGGCCTGCTATTTTTGCTTTAATTCCTGTGGGTTTCTATGCTTTCTTATTTCGTTTAAGGAATATACTTCTGTTGCTGCTTCTCCATTCTCCTTCCACTTTTCTGTTCGCCCATCTTCACAGAGGCATGGATAGAATATTTATTTGATTATCATAGTTATTTTTTTTTTAAAAAAAAAAAAAAAAAAAAAAAAAAAAATTTAACTGAAGCATGATCGTCAAATTGAGTTTGTTGATACATTACATGCAAAAACAAACTTGTACAACTTATTACTGAGCTGAGGCCCTAGCTATTTGCTAATTCCTTGGGTTTCTTGCTTCTTATTTTCGTTTAAGAATATATTCTGTGCTTCTCCATCTCCTTCCACTTTCTTTCCCCATCTTTTCACAGGACATGGATAGAATATTATTTGAATTCATAGTTATTCCTATTTACCGTTAATCCTACATGACAGATCCCATTGGTCATGAGCTTTGCTGGACCTGACCGTCTCCGGGAAGTTCGAATGGAGGCAGCCTATTTCTTGCAGCAGCTTTGTCAATCAAGGTGGAAAATTTCTCATTTGTGTTGTTATAGTTCTTAACATTGATTTTTTATAGAAATTCCAGCTTAAACTGAGATGATGACCTTTTGGTATAGCCACTTGACATTGCAAATGTTTATTGCTTGCCGTGGAATTCCTGTTCTGGTGGGCTTTCTAGAGGCTGATTATGCAAAATACAGGTTTGACTTCACAATGAACTAATTATGTTTTATAAGATAGGTGTTTTATTTCCGTTGACAATGGTATATACTTAATTATGGATATGGAAGTTGATGAGTGCTACAAAATAAGAGTACAAATTTTCCAATGACGCTGGAAATCACAATGCTAGATTGATTGAAATAATTTTAATCAACAAAAATTCTGATGTAAATAGCACCAAGTTTTACATGCAATGCACATTACAAAAAGGTTAGTCTTTGCTAAATTCACTAATCTACTTCACTTCCAGGGAAATGGTTCATCTAGCTATCGATGGCATGTGGCAGGTCTTTAAGCTTCAGAGATCAACCCCTAGAAATGATTTTTGTCGCATAGCTGCGAAAAATGGCATACTGCTTAGGCTTATAAATACTCTTTATAGTTTGAATGAGGCAACTAGGCTAGCTTCTATATCTATTGGAGCTGGATTTCCACTGGATGGTTCAGTTCAACGACCACGTTCTGGTTCGTTGGATCCCAGCCATCCCATTTTCATTCAAAGTGAGGCATCACTTTCTTCATTGGATCAACCTGAAGCCCTTAAGGTCAGGCATGGAATGATTGAGCATCCTATGTCAACGGGCACACAAGAACCTTCTCGAGCTTCTACTTCAAGTTCACAAAGGATGGATGCCATTCAACCAGATGCTAGATACCACCTTGTGCATGATTCTGATAGACCTCAATCTAGCAATGCAGCATTGGAAACTTCGGCTGCTCTAGATAAAGCTGGAAATATAGCCACCAAGGAATCTTCAGTAACTGCTTCTAAAGATCGAGACAACTTAGAAAGGTGGAAAGTTGATTCATCTCGAGCGAAAGTTGATGGTCAGCAGCAGCGATTAACTGGTTCTACTAACAGGGCATCTACAGATAGGCCACCTAAATTGGTTGAAAATGCGTCAAATGGTCTTCCTGCCATGGTATCTACTCAACCAGAGCAAGTTCGACCCCTTTTAAGCTTGTTGGAGAAAGAACCACCTTCCAAGCATTTCTCTGGTCAGTTGGAGTATGTACGCCACCTCTCAGGTTTGGAAAGACATGAAAGCATATTGCCTCTATTACATGCATCTGGTGAAAAGAAAACAAACGGCGAATTGGAGTTTTTGATGGCAGAATTTGCAGGTAACACTTTGCATTCATCTGCTATTCTATGCTTTATTGGGATGGTCAAATGATCACTCCTTGTTTAACCACCCTTAGTTTAACTAGAAAAATGGTTTATTGAAAATATTTAAACCACTGAGCACATCAAAGAATAATAGAAAACATTAGTTTACTCGAAATCTGTGTTCTTTTTGAACTTCTCCTGGCCTATGTCTGTGCTCAGTGGTCTACGGAAATGTTTGTAGGTAAAATAAAACTCAGTTTACTTTGGTGAATTAGTTTATGATTACTTCACCTTTCTGCTCTGCACCTGTGTATCAGCTCTAAATATTGGTTTATATTTCTCATTTCTAATTGAACTATTTTTTTTTTTTTTTAATTAAATTAGTAACTGGTGGCTGATTTTCTCCAATCTGGAACACATTCTTTGTAAAGGTGAATGATGTTGTTCTATGTTTAATAGAGGTATCAGGGCGTGGAAGAGAAAATGGAAATCTAGACTCTATACCTAGAGTTTCACACAAGACAGTGAATAAAAAGCTGGGAACATTAGCATCTAATGATGGAGCGGCTTCCACATCTGGTATTGCATCTCAAACAACATCAGGCGTGCTGTCTGGTTCAGGTGTTCTGAATGCTAGACCAGGGAGTGCAACATCATCTGGATTACTTTCCCATATGGTATCAACAATGAATGCAGAAGTTGCCCGAGATTACCTGGAAAAGGTGGCAGACCTTCTACTTGAGTTTTCTCAAGCAGATACAACTGTAAAATCCTATATGTGTAGTCAAAGCTTGCTTAGCCGCCTATTTCAGATGTTCAATAGAATTGAGCCGCCTATTCTTTTAAAGGTACCCAAGAAAATTTGCTATCTGCCCTTTTCTTTAGCTTGCCTAAGGGGTTCACTCTCTCTCTTTTTCACTCTGCTCTTTATTAATCTACAGTTACTCAAGTGCATAAATCATCTGTCAACTGATCCCAATTGCTTAGAGAATCTTCAGCGAGCAGATGCAATTAAATTTTTGATTCCAAACCTTGAACTCAAAGATGGACCTCTTGTAGAGCAAATTCATCATGAGGTTAGCATTCATTATTACATCCTAACATTAGCATTTAAAGGCTTGGCCCAAGCTGCTCGTAGATTTTATCTGAAGTTGCACAATGAATACAAGTGTACATATGCACATATGCATGCATGCAGACACTCGCATTTAAAATTATTATTTGTTTGTTGTATTGTTTTACTTTCAAGTCTGCAACAGGCCTCAGTTTACATTTGAAGGTGCATACATGTAATAGTTTGTATCATTTCATTGATATATTACTGCCTTTCAGTGCTTTGGAATTTCCCAAGTCATACTTTGAGTACTGTTGAAATTTTCCCTTGTCAATTAAGTTATTCATATTTACCTTCTAACTATTGCAGTTTGCGTGACAAATGAGAAATTTCCTACATGCGGTAGAAGCTTTTGTTTTATAGTTGGTATTTAGTATCTCGCGGCAAACTGATATAGAAAAGCTCAAGGAAAATCTGGCCTTTAGGAATTAGGGTTAGGGTTTGTAGAAATCAAGAATTAGAGGTTTGAAACCTAATCTGGCAGATCTGATTTCCGTTTACAATAATAAAGGAAAAGGCAAGTAATTTAAAAGAAAGCTGCTAGTTTTACACTAATATGATTTGGAATCACTCCTATCAAGAAAGCCTCTCACTTGCTTGGGTTAGATTTGCATCTCACAACTCAAAATAAGAGCATAAATTGCTGAAATTTTATTAATTGAAATCTGAAAATAAAGCATTAAAAGCATGAATGTTTATGGAGAGTACTCGTAAACTTTTATTCACTTGGACTTCTCTTCCTATGTTGACTTGTAGCAGTGAAAAAACTTGACTTTCTAATTATTTGGCTCATATGTTTACTAGGACAACTCAAAATAGAAATATTTAGGACTCAAAAATAACAAACTAGTACCCAAAATCGATAATATCCACTGAAACACCACAAATCAGCAGGGCTGTTTTTTGCAAAAATTGTTAATCCATTTCCTATGTGTGGTCCCCATTTTTATGTATGTTGAGAAATTGGTAGAGGAGAATTCACTTACACAAAGGAACTAGTTTCCATAGAACGAACCTCAACAGGGCTGGTCTCTGTTGATTTCTTTAGTGCTTATATTTTGTGGAAGGATTTTAAGTACCAAGTAGCTTGCGACAATGCTTTACTTTTCTATATAGATCATATTGGACTTTATCTCAAATCTAGCCCATACTTAGACTACTATAACAATCAACCTGAGCCATAATTTCACGAAACTCCACTAACAAAATTGGTTATACAAGAAAATATAATAACAGAATTCAAATATAAATTCCCACCAAAATACGAAGTAATTTAAGATTAAAATTATCTTAGTAAATTCTCAATTCTCGAAACAGGGGTGCCAAGTATTAGCAGTTTCATTTCAAAAGTTGTTTTGTTATTCTCTATCGCTTGGTTTAGTATGGTATTTTGTTACTTACATATGTACTCTTCTTGCCAAATACTTGTTTCATGTAATGCTAATGGTTCTTTCCCAATTTTCCTGTCTTGAAGGTTCTCCATGCACTATTTAATCTGTGCAAGATAAACAAGAGGAGACAAGAACAAGCTGCTGAAAATGGAATCATTCCACACTTGATGAATATCATTATGACAGATTCTTCCTTAAAACAGTATGCATTACCTTTACTGTGTGACATGGCTCATGCATCTCGTAATTCAAGAGAGCAATTAAGGGCCCATGGTGGATTGGACGTGTACTTGAGCCTGCTTGATGATGTAGTTTGGTCAGTGACAGCATTGGATTCAATTGCTGTTTGCTTGGCTCATGACAATGACAATCGCAAAGTAGAACAGGCATTACTGAAAAAGGATGCAGTCCAAAAATTAGTGAAGTTCTTCCAAAGCTGTCCGGAACAACAATTTGTGCATATTTTGGAGCCATTTTTGAAAATAATCACGTAAGCAATCTAACATTAGTCTCATATTGTTTAATTTTGAAAATCATGTTATTTCCTTATTCTTCGACACCAAGTACAGTGGCTGTCCAAACAGCAATGTCTATTTGCTGGTCAGATAAATCTAGATTATCAATGATAATGATATATTTAGAAAAATATTTATATTGGAGGGCTTAACATTTTTGTATGTCAGATGTTTTAACTAGTAAATTTGTCCTTGTTCAGATACCATTATACTTTTTTGTGCATAGAGGCTTAGAGCTCTCCAAAACAAGCTTTTATCTTGTTTAATGTCACTTGGTTAATAGATAATCAACAGAAGAAGGAACCTTCTGTAAGTTGTTCTAAAACTGAGGATTGGATAAGTGTTACATATGCAACACTAATATTACAATGGCTTTTTATATGGTATATTGTTTGCTAATTACAAGCATGTCTCTTCTCTTTTTTTGTTTCTTCTGCTAGTCATTGAAGGATGGTATACGTGCACAAATTTTCTTGAATTATATTGTGCAAAATTATTAAACTTGTTTTCTTTTTTCTATTTTCTGAATTCTGTACTGTATTTATTCATTTATTATTTGTTTGAACGCAGGAAATCATCCCGGATAAATACTACATTAGCTGTTAATGGTTTGACACCTTTGCTCATTGCAAGGTTGGACCATCAGGATGCTATTGCTCGACTAAATTTGCTTAAATTAATAAAGGTAAGAGTCTGGACTTAGCTCTCTTTTTTTGTGTTCTTTCATGTTGCAGAAGAGTTTATTTTGTCACCACTCACCAAATCATGCATATGTGTCAACCGATTAGAACATGCTGCCTAGTACTAATTAAGTTTATTAGGTTTAAATCTTCATCCCTCCTATTTGTCAATGTAATCTTTTAATGCTTGATACATTTCTCCATGTTCAAAAAGCAGTTTGTTTTGTTTGTCTACTTGTAATAATTACGTATTGCTGACTGAAACTCTTCGTGGCAGGCTGTCTATGAGCATCATCCTCGGCCAAAGCAATTGATTGTGGAGAATGATTTGCCCCAGAAACTTCAGAATTTGATTGAGGAACGTAGAGATGGGCAAAGTTCAGGAGGTCAAGTGCTCGTCAAACAAATGGCTACTTCTCTGCTGAAAGCACTTCACATCAACACTGTTCTGTAAATTCACGTGAACCCAACTTGTATATCTTGTTTTTTTCTCAGATGTATTATTATTTTTGTTTTTTTTTTGTTTTGTTTTTTTTTTTTTTTTTTTTTTTGCTATTTGCGTCTGACTGAAAAGCACTTCACATTCAACACTGTTTCTGTAAATTCACGTGAACCCAACTTGTTATATCTTTTGTTTTTTCTCAGATGTATATATTATTTTTTTGGTTTTTTTTGTTCTTTGGTTTTATTTTTTTTTATTTTTTTTTTCCGAGGGTATAAAAAACACTGGTTTCCTTGTTTCAAATATCTTCAATATTTAGGTTGTGTCCTATTCGAATTATCTGAAAGGCTCAAGGGTTTCCGTCGGGTGGCTTGGGGGCTTGCCAGATTGATTCCCCCCCCCCCCCCCCCTTCTCTAGCTTTTTGTTTGTTTTCCTTCTTTAAGCCTGAGTGGGGCTTGCGTTTTTTTTTTTTTGATTGTTTTTACAATGAGTTTTTTTTTACTCCCAAAATAAACCTAAATTTTGCTTTGGTACACCTGATCAGAGTAGAACAGCTAAGCCATATAGGGAGTAATCTCATGTTTTTTTTTTTTTACCTTTTCTTTTTTCGCTTTTTTCTGGATAGTTGTAAATAACATATCTCAGCTTTTCATGATAGTGTTCAGTTTTTTATTTTAATTCCCATATTTTATTTTCTCCTATAAATGTTAAATGAAGTGTTTTCAATGAGTGTACACAAGAAAATTACACATACTAGAACCAATGAAATCAACAACACACAATGTGCTATTAATATTACTGAGACTTTTTTTTTTTTTTTTTTTTTTTCATGTTTTTTACTCCAAAATACCCTAATTTTTGCTTTGTACATGATCGTAACACTAGCCATTGGTAATCTCATGTTTTTTTTTTTTTTTCTTTCTTTTTTCCTTTTTTCCTGATAGTTGTAATACATTCTCAAGTTTTATGATAGTGGCCAGTTTTTATTTATCCATCTTTTTTTTCTCCCTTTTAATTTCAAATGGTGTTATATAGCAACAGAAATTCACTACTAGAACCAAGAATAAACTCAATGTGCTATATATTACATGAGACACATATACCTTGTATAAATTTAATATGCTATGTAGGTTGTATGCTATACATCGTTCACATGATCTAATGGGACAGCCTAGCCTTTACTCATCCTAACTATAGACCCAAGACATCATCAAATACAATGCCGTAAAAAATCATCAAGGGAGACAAATTTTCATCGAGGAAGAAAAGTGAGGCTATCGTTATATATTCTCGTCTTTTGTCCGAAATTAGGGTTAGAGTCCGTTGGGTTTGTGTATATTAGAAATGTTTTGGATATGGTGGATTAATAGGCTGAATTTTATCAATCTGAAAAGAATGAGATGGGAATAAAAAGAGTTCAAAAGGGGGAAAAATAAAGATGAGAATGTCACGAGAGAAATATAAGAAATTGAAAGGATGGAAAAGAAATGGGGATTAAAGGTGACTTGAATACACAAGACAATTTGATTTGTTTGTAAGATTTTAACGTGCATTACAGCATTGTATTTGTACGGGTTCCAGGAATGCCTATAAGAAATATGCATCTCTAAAAAGATCTATACAAAATTTAAAATATCTTCAATATATGCAATATTTACAAATTATGGTTTTTAGGCCCAAATGGCTCTCTTGATACTCTTCTAATTATATAACACCCTATCCAAGCTTTGCCAATTCAGACCTATCGTTTGGGCTAGCTTTGGATCGACATCAAGAATGCCCCCCTGCACATAGGTTTTATTTGGTATAGAAATCCATGTGCACTGTTAGCCGGCCTAAGGTCACCTAAAGGATGTATCCGATCACTTGAAAGGTTGCACTTTTCATCAATTAATATTGTTTCTTCATGCTTACTATAAATGTGGATCTAAGCTCTCCCTTATGATTTTGCATTCCCTTGATCTTTTATAATCTCCACCGATAACTCTCAATTGTTGTTTTTCGATTGTTTCTCCCCGCTATCACTCTTATAGTTTGTCAATATTTCCTTTTAAGAATGTTGACCGAATACCCTACCAGTAGAGACGCTCTAGTAGCCTTGTTAGTCGCTCATTCTTTTTTTATTGATATGGACTCTGGTAAAAAAAAATCATAATCCTTTTTTCAACAGATGGACGCCTTCCATTACGAATCTGTCTTTTTTCACTTTCAAAGCATCTTTTACCCCTTAGCTTCTTTTCAGCAATGTATGTATTTGGAACAAAAATATGGAGGACTAGCCGATTCCTTCAACCAATTTCCTATCTCCGCAATCCCACTTGAAAACCTCTTTTAAATCTCTATGAAAATTGGTTGTATTTATGATCTCCTAGATTTATGCTGCCATCCCATCCATATCCATCGGCCTTTACTTCTTCCAGCGCTCAACTTTTTTGGTCCCATTCTGCCAACTGCTTTACCTTTTGATTCGACCCCATGTCTCCATCTCTTTTAGACATGGTAGTCTTGTTTGGACTCCCAATAATCGGCGAATCATTTGTCCCGATCTTCTGGTTAATATAAGTAATGTTGGTTTCGACTTCAACGACCTCTAGTTGCAATCATGAATTGTTCTTAAAGGCTTTTCGGGGAGTACCTCCTTCCATACTGTGACCGAACATATTGCATTTCTTCTATATTTCCTGTGCGGATTTATTTTTTGCTTGCCAAAGTCATGAAATCTGATTTGCAAATAGCGGTAGCTTTGGATGAGGATAGAAAAAATTGGCTTTAGGTCAATACATTCTAGCTCGTCTTTATAGAAGTGTCTACCTTTTATTCCTGATAATCAGGCAAGGTCAGTCGGTCTTTCGCAAGGACCACTTTGGATGTTTTAGTTGAGGCTGATCGCTTACTTCCCCAAATTCACAATAAAGGTTGATCCTATTGATAATACTTGGGGAAGTCTTATTTATATTGAGTATAATAAATCATTTTTTGCTTCCTTTTTTGTCCTTTCTGATCATATCGTTATGGCCATCATGGTTAACGACATACTATTCCTCCATTAGTCCTGAGGCTACAACTAAATGGCAACAACATTGGTCAACCGTGGTAAAAGACCTGTTTTGCAAGACCGATTTATTAGTGGGCGTTTAGAAGCCTTCGAGAGAAAATATACAATCCCAACTTTTTCGCTTGATAATTTGGCCTTACTCAATCTTCGTTATTTTATACGCTTCTCTAAATTTCCCTTTATATAAGTGTCTTCCACATACTGATTTCACATTTTTGAAATTAGTGCTCGATCACGCTTGGATAGGTGGCAATGGATAGGATTCAAGATCATCATGGGACCATCATGCTTTTTGACCTTTGGTGGGATAATATTTCGGATGGCTATATGAGAATTTTTGGCTGAAGGGTTATGTGCTTGTCTGGACTAGAATCCCTTCTCGATGGCACTTCCCTCCATTAAAATGGCCAGGCATGGGTAAGTCTCCTCCTACTCATGCTCTCTTCATTTTTCTATAGATAGGATAAATGTTTGTGTTCCACATTCTAGGTCAACTCTCAGGCAACCAGATGACTATATCTCTTCCCAAGCGATTGTCCTTGTAGACAAAACATTAAATGTGATTTGGATGCACAAGGTAATCAGATTTGTTTGTCTAGGTTCACGGGTGCATTACAATGTTGTTTCCTCTATTTATAGGGTCCTAGGAGTATCCTCCAAATATGGTACACCTTTTCGAAAATCTATACAACCCAAAGATATTCTAGATACATGCAATATTTACAATTTGTGGGTTTTAAGCTCCAATGGCCCTGTTGGCACTCTTCTAACTATATAATGATGCTCTCCAAGTTTTGCCATTTCGGGCTTCCCATTTGGAGCTGATTTTTAGGCCAGCGTCAACACTATCATAGATTAATTTTTTATCATCTTGGTCATTAGTGAGAAGGATTCTATTTGTGGATCTTGTGTTGGTAATGCAAAGAAAACTAAGTACCACTGTTCTTTATCTCACATGTGTTTTTAATGGTTTGCATATTTGGTTTTGGTGAGTGGTGATAAAGAGTTGATAAAGAGTTTTTTTATGATAACAATTGCATGTAAGTGTGGAAAGCTATTGGCTAACATTTATAGAATTTAAGAAGAATTCTTTATTATAAATATTTGATTTATTTTACTATTGTGAACTAAGAGGCTAGAGGAAGATTGATGAATTTTAATAGGAGAGAGGCCTTAGAACTAAATAAATACAGGATGTTCCCACTTGGAGAGGGTACTGATTTTGGATTTAGGTATGAGGATTTCATAAATGATGGATATAAGAATAAGACAGGGGATGAACCATATTCTAGTAAATCAAATCCAAATAGTAGGGAGGTAAATGATGATGAATTTAGGGAGTTGAGCAATAACGGAGGGTGGAGTTGCTAGGGGTGGTTCTCGTCCCTCTAACTTAAATTTTTTTACCTCCTTAATCTTTTATTTTTAACTGTCACTGGGAAGATAAAAACACACTGTGGTCCTAACATTGAAGTTTTTTTTTATTGGTGACTTGGTATGATCTTTGAAATATTAACCAATTTAAGAAGGTAGTAACAAAGTGCGATTGTAGAGATGTTGATCTTACAATCAAATCAAATGAGCTAGCCAAAGTGAGGGCCAGGTGTAGAGAAGGGTGTCCTTGGTTATTCTTTGCGTGTAAGAGACTAAGACAAAGAATTTTATTGTCAAAACTTATAATCCATTCGTAAGTGTTACAAGGTTAATAGATGTAAGCTTTGCAATTCAACTTTCATAGCTAGATATTTCTGTGAGCAAATCTTGACTCAACCCTCCATTAAAGTTAGGATCTTGATGTCATTACTGTTGTAGGATGGACTATTGCAACAAACATGCAAAAGGTACAAATCTTGATTTCCTTCATGTAATTTATCTCTTTATCTTTATTGGGAATGATGAATGAAAGCTGATTTTTGTCATGTATAAATTGACATCATCATGCATATTATATTTGTTCATTAAAATTACTTTTATAAGTCAAGCTTTAACTTATGCCAAATTAAAAATTACTTAAATCAAAGACCTAATTCTTAGTCCATCTCGATTTCGAGTTTTAT